TTTGAGTGGCTATGCACAGTTCTGACCCCTATTTTTGCCCTAAGTTCTTCCTGGTTCCCCTCTTCGACACGCCTGCTGAAAGAAACTTCAGATTTATCAAGATTCCCCACTTGGCCAAATGTTTGTTGATACTTGTCCAGGATAGAAAGGATCTTATCTGCTTCAGATTTGTTTGCCCTAGCAAAAAGCAGACTGTCATCTGCAAAGAAAAGGTGAGTGATTGTGGGTGCCTTACAAGCCACTTGTATACCATGGATCCGCTTGTTATTCATCTCCCTTTTGATGAGACCTGAAAAAACATCAGCACACAAAATGAAAAGGTAATGGGAGAGAGGATCTCCTTGACGGAGTCCTCTCTCTGAAGAGAAACAGGCACTAGGTTGGCCATTAACTAACACCATGTAGGTGACAGTAGATATACATCTTACAATAACATCAACCAGGTGCTAGGGAAAACCCATAGAGTTCAACACCTCAGTGATAAAAACCCACTCCAACATGTTGTACGCCTTTGACATGTCAAGTTTAAGTGCCATCGTCCTCTTTTTTATCCAATGGAAACACTCCATCGCAACTAAGGGATCATCCGCTATAAGACGCCCCTGAACAAACACACTTTGTTTCTCATCAACAATGCCAGGGAGAATTTTCTTTATCCTGTTAGCAATGGTCGTCGTGACTATCTTCATTAACACATTACAGAGGCTGATGGGGCGAAACTCCTTTGCACAAGAGGGGAGCTTACACTTTGGGATTAAAGCAATGTGGTTGTGTTGAAAAATCTTGGGTCTGCATTGTTGTTTAGGACATCCAAGACCAACTTGTAAATATTAAAGCTCATGATACCCCAGTATTTCTGATAGAACAAAGTTGGTAAACCATCTGGCCCTGGTGCTTTCAAAGGGTGCATTTGGAAAAGGGCGGCCTTAACTTCTTCCTCTGAAAAACTCCTTTCACACCACCTGACATGATCCGGCTGAAGTTTACCCTTTAACACAGAACAAACATCTTCAAGATTTGAAGGCAGAGTAGAAGAAAATAAGTCAGAAAAATAGTGGGACACAATTCTCTCACAATGCTCTTCACCCTTCTACCAGCAACCATTCTCATCTTTGAGCTTGAAAATATCATTCACTTGTTTCCTCTGATTGGCTTTACCATGGAAAAACTTGTTTTTATCCACGTGTTTTAACCACAAAGCACGACTCTTCTGACGCCAAATTATCTCTCCTGCTTGAAAAAGCTTGTTTTTCTGATCCTCTAGAACCTTTAGTTCCAGTATGTTCTCACTTAAAGAGTTCCAGCCACATTCCTTCTTAAGACGTTCCTCAATTCTGCCCAATTCTTTGCTGATGGCGCTCCTCCTATAATCTTTGAATAACTCATCAAGTGCCTGCATATCGTTAATCTTTGAAGACACCCGTCCCGTAGCACCATTCCACAGGCTCTCCACTTCTCGCTCACACCTTGCATCTTTGCTCCAGATTTCTTCAAACCTAAAAATATAACTCCTTTCTCGCCTCGTACCATAGGAATCCGCTTCTAGTTCAATCCTAATTGATGTGTGATCAGATCCAAATCGAGGAAGGTGGCTTACACTAATAGGTGCAAATCTGTTGATGAAGTTCTCAGTAGCCAAACTTCGTTCCAACCTACACTGGATGTAGGGATGACAAACAAACCCGGTTGGATCTGGGTGCGGGGGCGGGTGTGTTATATGGAGGCGGGTGCGGGTGCATGTATAGTTAAACCCGCCCCGTTGTCATCCCTAACTGGATGTTATGCTCCCCTTCGCAACCGTTTATCCAAGTAAACTTGTAACCTGCAAAACCAAGATCAGTTAGTTGACACAAATCAAGCATTTGTCTTCCACAGGCTAGTTGACTACTCGTTCTGCAATTCCCTCCCTTTTTCTCATGGTCAAAGAGAATGTCATTTAGATCTCCCAAAGCAAATAAAGGAGTCTCCTCCGCTGTTAACTACATCTTTGATAAAATTCCAAGTTTTCCTCTTATTCTGCTCCTCTAGGAAACCATAGATGCCACTGAAGTACCACTTCTTTTCTGTTTCATCTTCCTCCACAACACACCCAATATGATTCAAAGAGAAGGAGCTCACAGATATCTTCACTGATTCCTTCCACATCAGAATTAACCCACTTGCTCTATTCCTACCTTCACCTGAACAATCAACTACAAAGCAACCCTCAAAACCACACTTGTTCTTTATTGACTGAACCTCTTCACTCTTCAACCTAGTTTCCATAAGAAAAACCACTTCGGAGTTTTCTAATCGATTGAGCCTTAGCAAGGCTCGAACTGCACGGGGACTCCCTAACCCCCTACAATTTCAATTGATAATCTTCATTGATCTAGGCGGTGTTGGTTCTCCAACACCACCTCTGGTAATCTTTGAATTTCATCACCACTTATTTGTCCCTTCCTCTTCTTTTCTCCACTTCCCTGCCCTTCTATAACTCCTTCTATGATCATCACATCAATTAACTGTCTTTTCCCTCCTTCTAAATCTAAGTGCTTTTGTTGGTTAGGGCTCACTTTTCTTGGTGTTTGTTTCCTTGTCCACTTCTTTTTTGATATTGAACACTGTGAAGCTTGTTCTGGTTCCTTCATCTTTCCCATGTTGGAAATCTCAAACGCACCTAAGGATTCTGCAACTGCCTCAACTTATCCTTCTTTGACCCTTTCGTCTGATGGTTCAGGTCTTCAATCTGTATCTCCTTTTGTTTCTCCACTTTCCTTTGTTCCACTTCTCCCTCAGTTTCTTTATCCTTTTATTTAGTTGCACATTTGCTATTTCCTGAGGAGATATTGAATAGACTTTTCCAACAAGAACTTGATGTAGACTCCTTTCGTTGTTCAACTGGGATCTTTGGCAAAGGGGACGCACGCAGCCACAGTCCAAATGATAACTCCTTCTCTTTAAGCTCTTCAAAACCTTCATCAGACAAGTCTGTTATAACTTCACAATCTTTTAACTGGTGTCCTAATCTTCCGCAGACGAAGCAGAGAGTTGGAAGTCGTTCATATTTAAAGAAAACCCTGAGATTCTTCTCTTTGAACCTAACAACCGTGCCTCACTTAAGTGGTTGTTTTAAATCCAGTGTCACCTTGATGCAAAGAAACCTTTCATTCATATGTGCGTCCTTATGGTAAACTTCTTCAAAAAAAAGACCAATATTCCTCCTAATTTCTTTGCCATGGCTTCGGTTCTCTACATTAAAGGAAGCTCGTACACTCTGACCCAAAAAGCTCCATAATGCATCTTCAAAGCCGACGGTTGTTCTTCACATGATACTCTTGCAAGGACCACCATATTTCTGTCAAAGCTCCAAGGCATGTTGCGCAAGTTATTTTCCAGATCTCGCTTTGTGCTGAAGTAAAAAAGGAATAAATTTTTGTTGAGTTCCTGAGTTTCAACCGAGTTCTTTAGTTTCCATGCGTTTACAGTCGTTGAGGTAAAAGCTCTTGAGTTGAAAAGACCGTCAGTCCAGATCTTTGCCGCCGGTGTGCATTAAAAGATCTCGTCTCCTCCAACCTCCCCCGCCTCTGCCGTCACACCTTCTTCTTCCTTCGAGAGGGAAAACTCCTTCCACTTATCCATGTGAGAACTAGAGAAAAAAGAAATGAACCACGAAAAAACAGAAAACTAGCTCGGGGAAAAGGAATCTACCAGGAACCGGTAGGGAACAAATCAAAGAAAAACACCATACAAACGTGGTGGGTAAACCAGAAAGAACTGGGGAAAACAAGCGGCGCAACACTTAGAGTGGGAGAGGAAAAGTCACAAATTCAAAAATCCTAAAAATTTTTTGGAGAGAAACACGATAACCTCTCTCTAGAACACGTGGACAAGGTCTAATTTCCACGTTGTTGATACTTAACGTTATAAATTAATTAAAAAACTTAGTTTGAATGAATAAGAGTAGGAATTAAGAGATTTTTTTGACTAAATATATTGCGCAAAAAGTGTTTTTGGATTCTTTTCTATTTCGATTTCAAAAGTAACATAATGAGAAGGAAAAGTGGTTTCGCTTTATTATAAAGGGTGCATCAGAGTACTATTATCCAGGTGGTGTCCTAAAAATACTATTCGGACACACTCATTTGTACTTTAAATGCGTTTTGGTGTATATTTGGGGTATTATATTGAGATGCATTCGAATTGTATCGTCTAGATGAAATGAGCAATTTCAAAATTTTATAGTTTTGGAAACTCATTTGCACTTTTACTAATGGTTACTTTGGCAGTTAAATTCCAAATTCTTAGTTTTAATTTAAAGATGATCCGATTCTTGTTTCCACTTTTTCTTTTTTCTTTTTTCATTTAATTTTTTGGTTGCTGTTTGACAACCCCAATTGTCTTGTGCAGGAAATAAGCAACCAATTTATGTCCCACCCAAATTGGTCAATCATTTATCTAATACTTCCAAGTACCAATATAATGTATGATTGTTATTTGAAAGAGTTGAAGCAGGGTTTCAGTTACTAGTAATATAATTTGATTATTCTCCTTAGACTCGTTACTTGACTTATAAAGAACCGGAACACCTTGGACTGATTGCCACCTGCTCCCAGCCACTCCCTCAAACTTGAAAATTGAATGAAACAATGAGCTTATGGAGCTTGTAGTTATTGTAATTGGAAGTTTATTATTCTTTTAAGGAGAATTCAGATATAGAACCGTAGACAGCAAAGTATCCTAAAGTTCATTATCCTGAGGATTGTGATGGTGAAAGTTCTAATTCTAATTTTGTAGATTTTGATTGTGAGAAAAATTGAGATTGTGTAGGCCAGACAAGGTCTCACAATCTACAAGTGTTCCTTTAGACTTTTCTCTTTTAGTTCCTTTTGACCTTGCAAACAAGTGGCTAAAATAAAATTCTCATTTCGACAAAAATCCATTTCAATTGCGAATACAGGGTGAGTACAGGAATGAATAAACATTAACACTAGACAAAGAAAAGAAGCACACTCAGTCTTTCACAGAAGGTCAAAAAAATAATCCAAACCTTGACCGATTTCCCATATGGAGATGCCACATCCCCATGAACGGGCTTCCTCTAACCGCAAGGAAATTGACTTTAAAGATGGATAGAATACAACATGTTTGATATCCTTGTCAGCGATGTAAAAGAAAAGATGTTCCCCACTGTTCTTATCCCACTGCAGAGCAGGTCTGTGCTTCTCCAAAAGTGCTAGGTAATCTCTCCCAATAATAGCTCCACCACCGGAATCTGCACTTTCAAATTTCACCAATATGTAACATAAAATGCTGTTACATGATAAGCCACAGAAAAAACAAAAGAAAGTCTTTGGTCGAATTACCCTTTGAAAGGGAGAAATCATTTCCATAGAAGTTGATGCCAAAAAATATCTTGGGGGTGATGTTTTGGGCTCTATTGGCAGAGGCACCAAGAAGTATCCGTAGGATAATTTGAATCCATTCTAAAGGTGCATTAGGACCAGGTTTGTGAGGATTAGAGAAGTCATATGTCATTAATGAGAATCCATCGACAACTTCACTTAAAGTCTCGAGATCTTTTGGACCAAAGTCATGTGCTTGCAGCTTCTCGGAAGATGGTGGACCTATAACATAGACCAACTGCAACTTCTGTCCACTAACTTTTTCCGAGATTATAGAATGCAGCGCATCTCCAAGCTGTTTTACAAACTGCAAAGCCTGTACTTGTAACAGAATAAAGACCATATCAACTGCTTTAGTGTGTAAATACATGAAGGTGAGAAAATCATAATATCTTCAAATTGTAATAGTAGTAAGTGTTCCACATTCCATACAGGAACTGAATCACCTCGGACAATTGTAATATAAACATTTAATGACTGCCCAGACCTTATCAACTAAAAAAATCAACAGAATGAAGAAAACAACTTAGTCCGTGAATAACAGGAAGAGTTCCATATTATATGTTTGTTGTATAAAAAGTATCTGAACATTAAACAGAACAGAAAAAATACTCACCAAACTCCGCATGATTGGATCATGCAAGATACCATAAGCTGCCCACCTTGACCAAGATTCTAAGACAACACCATCATATCCCATTTCCCTACAGAAGAAGCACGTTAACACAAAAAGAAAACCATATCACAACAAACAGAGCCAATGTATCAAGAAATGAAGATCTTGTTATATGAATATTTACTGTCATAAACAAATTTTGACTCCCATCCAATACGTAATGGATTAGTTAAAGTGGAAGAACTTCTCGACTATATGAAAATTAGCTGGGTTAATTAAGTATTATTATACTGAAAACCATGGTAAGGTAATAAAATGATGGGAAAAATGACAAAAAGAAATTATTGGCAAAAACATTTGGGTTTAAGAAGGGTAAGTCATTCAAGTGGTTGATTAAGTTAATCAGTGGTTACTTAATATTATTAACTGCTTGTGATCAACTTATTGTAGTTAAACAATTGAAAGGTTAGTTTACTGCAGTATACCATTACAGATGACACCAAGAGACTATTCATACATCCATTCTTGCAGCAAATGATAAACAAATACAGAATAGCTAAATCAGTGACCACGAGAAGATCAGATAAGCAAAAGCTGGATATTTTTCTAGCACAAGAAATAATCCTTTCCTCCCATAAAACAAAACCACCTCCTTAAAGATTTATCATAAAATAATCAAAAGCTTACTTGCACTCTGTCACAATAAGGTCAATGGCTTTGTTCCTTAGTTTCTTCTTTCTCAATAGCTCTTCTGGTGATGCTTCCAGAACAACTCTAGGCAAGATCTACATGCAATAGAAAAAGTCATTGATGGTTCACTAAGGCAAGATCTAAGGAAAAACACAGCAATAGTACTAGCCTACTAGGACAATGAAAATAAACAAATCTCAGGTCGGACATGTTAAAGATATCATACAACAGCCTGATCTGGAGGCTTCTACTTAGGACGAGGGTTAAAATAGGCAAGAAACTTAGGAATAATTTACGTCACAAATTCCCACACATCCCTGCTACTTAAACTGTTACAGACTTACAGAAGTTACAGTTAAAAGAGTATAATTTAATTCAAATTTAAATTCACATATTGGAGAGAGAAAATACATCCCGGATATGCCAGAGCTACTCTCCTCTTTTCGTTCTAAGAAGTAAAATTTTAATTATAAAATTGTTTTATATTACATCTCTACCACCCACTAACCCAGTGTCGCTCCTATTAGCAAACCCCATAACAACTCTCCAATTTAGCTCTACTTTCTAGTTTATAAATCTAAAATTAAGAATGTCATTGAGTACATAACATAGCTTTAAAAATTAATAATAATTGTGTAAAGAGTAAAGGATTTGTGAACAAAAGAGGTATTTATTTTGTCATTGATGGAATGAAAATAAGTTAAAAAGTTCAGAACTTATTCATTGTACCAAAGCTTTTCCTGCCTTTTTAAGCTCCGAGATCCATCCTCTGTCAGCATTATGTCTCCCCTCTAGAACTAAGCTAGACTGTTGGCTGGCAATAGCAACTGATGAAGCAAGGCGATAAAGCCATATAATAACAACTAGCTAGATAACAACCCCCATGTTTTATCGATGAGTGAATACTAGAATTTCAGAATAAGCATCCCAGGTCATGACATGTCACAAAATAGAAGGCTAAATAACAAGTAAAACTTCAGAAAGCTAGAATCTAAATATACTACGAATTTTTGGATGCTTGCAAAATACATTTGAAAAGCTCTGATGAAGTGAAACGAAGAGGGCTAGGAATGTGATAAATTTCAGTTCCCAGGTCCCTCTATTTCTTCAATAATTTAAGTCACTAAGGACTGAAGTGCATACCTTTTTAAATCATACCAGACAGGTGATAAATGTGTAAACTTAGAGTTGAACCTTTTCGCCATCTCATAACCTAAAGAATTCCTGCCACGATTAAAATTTCCGAAGGTGTATATGAATTGTAGATATAAAGCTATAACAGGAGGATTGACATGTAATGAAAAAAGTATAACATAATAGATTCAAGTTCACATTATATGAACAAAAGTGATTCCTTCTCTTGCAGAAACTATTGTATATCAGTTACCAAATTCAAGCTTCATTCAAGAAAAATACTAAACTGAAGGTACATTCAACAACAAAAAACGCATACCAGGGAGTAATGTAGCCAAGCACAGGGTAAGTATAATGTCGAATAGATGTATTTTCTGATACTTTCGTATTCTCCTAAATTCAATATAAATTTATAAAATCAATAACAGAATTACAACAATAAAAACTCAAATTCTCAATAATACTGTAAACACTGCTTTGAATAAAAAAAAATCAAACAGTTTGTAATAGAATCAGATTCAGAGCGTAGTTATGGCGGTGCTTACAGTGAGTATGTCTTGGAAATTGGTGTCGGTAGTAACAAGGCCTCGTTGATTTACATACGATCTGTTATGTTGCGAATGAGAAGATTGTCCCAACCAGTAAACGGCGACGGCGATCACCGAGGACACGATGAAGAAGGAAATGACTTTGATGGCACCGGAAGGCGAGTGTGGCTCAGTTCGTTTTTCTCGTCGTGAAGATGACTTGATTTGGTTTTCCCGGCGACCGGGACTCGGAGCTGGCCGCTGATGATCTCGCTTTTTCGCCATTTCGTCGTAGTGATTTGTTTCTCGGTTTTCCGGTGGCTAAACGATGGCTCACTGTTTCCTCAGATTAAATCAGTCACCGCATGATAAAAAATAGATACTATTTTTTTGTTCTTTCTAGAAAAGGTGAAGAATATCTTTAATAATATTTCTTTTTTCTAGATCATCATAATATCATTTTTACAAATTTATCTTTGTCTATTTTTGAGGTACCATAATATTTATTAGAGATTAGAAAACATAAGTAAAATAATTATAATTATATTGGCAAATAAATATAGTTAATATAACTGAAAATTTAAAGAGAATTTTAAAAGAAAAAAAAACTTTTTAAGAGAGTTTTATATTTATGGAGGTAGAGAATAGTACTTTAATCAAATACAAATGATTTCTCAAAAACTTTTTAAGAGAGTTTTACTAATAATTCAAGTTAAAGATAAACAAGTAAAAGATTTCTCAAATCAAATATATATATATATATATATATATATATATATATATATATATATATATATATATATATATATATATATATATATATATATATATATATATATATATATATATATATATATATATATATATATATCAAAAATGCTATTCTTACACCCATTTTTACACCCAATACTTACACCGTATACACTGTTCACCGTATTTATACGGTGAACAGTGTTTTTTAATTAAAATAATATATATTTTTTAAAATATAAAATTTTTTAAAAAAAAATATGTATTTTTAAAATTTATTTTTGTAACACAAATATAGAATTGCGTATTAACCAACTTCAGAGTTGCATTAACCACAAAAATCTATATCATTAACAAATTATTTTACCTATAATTTATTAACCACTTTCACTACTTCATTAACCAATAAAATACACACTATTAACCATATTCTGAAAAATTTAGTCAAGTATTTGTGAACAGTGAATTGGGTGTAGGGTGTAGAAAATGGTGTCAACATAGCAATTCTGATATATATATATATATATATATATATATATATATATATATATATATATATATATATATATATATATATATATATATATATATATAATATTTTTACGAGTATGTGTTTTAACTACTCCAAATCAAAATCTTGTTTTATTTGAGTTGATGAAATTAGATAGAACAGAGCTTAATGAGATGGAATATAATGATATTTCATTGTTTAGATCATTTAAATTTTGGTGGAGCAAAGTAAAATATAGTAGTATGAATTTCATTATATTTCATCACTTACTACCATATTTGTTCCCCTCTAATTTAGGTTGAATGAACAACTTGTCTTATTTCGTTTTAAAATTTCAAAACAATGAAATGAAACATTCATTCTACTCTGTTCCATTCCGTTCCGTCCCACTTTGCACCACTCTATTTCGCTCTGTTCATTTTATTATTTTCAAACATAGCCTTAAATTGAATTTAATCTAATTGTACACATTTTTAATTTAATTATAATTAACATTTTTATTCAGTTAACCATTCGATTAAATCTAATTCAAATGTGTTCTTGATACACTTTTGGATAATCTCCTTGAAATAAATCAGGTGAGACTTCAAATGCAATGGGAATTGGGTGCTCTAGTTCTTATATGATATTTATCTCCCCTTTTCTCTTCAATGGTGAGTCCTTTTATACCCATCTCACTTTCATAGATGATTAAGAATCGTCCATCCAATTTCCATGATTAAATATTATGGGTGTATACCGGTTGTGTTGGATCAGATTTGGCCTAACCCGTTAACCAACCCGTTCAAACTTCAATAGGTTGAGTTCTTCATCCAACTCACAATTTTATTATCAAAACCAACTCAAACTGACTTGTATGTTTATGGGTTGAGTCAGGTTGTGTTTCAAATAAAAAATATATATTTTTAATAATTTTTTTGTCAGTTTAAAAAAATGTAACACAACTCAATACAATCGTACTCATTTATAACACTCAAACTCGATGAAACACGTCATATAATAGTAAAAAATTCTATAACACTCTATAATAGTAAATAAAATTTTTACAAGACACGTTATTTATATAAAATACATAAGTTAGAAATGACACAAAAGAAAATATAGGAAATAATATTTAATCCTATGATTATGTAAACTCATTGATCTAGTAGAATTATTGGTGGAAATACAACTTTATTGGAAAAATTATGGTTATTAGTGAGATATTAATTTTATATTTTATTTAAAATATTAATAGAAAAATAAGAAATCATTAAATCCACATAAGTGGGTTGGGTCAACAGGTCTACGAGTTGCAAAACTCAAACCTGATACCTGAACCAAAACTATATGGGTTGGGTTGGATATATCTGTAAATGAATGAGTTCAGGTAATTTATGGGTTTGTTTGGTTTGGATCAGCAAATTCGCGGATCGACCTGCACCCATGAACACCCCTATTAAATATTGATAATAACGTCTGTCATCATCGTCATCATTATCATGTAAGATCCTCTTTATCATTTTCTTTAACTCCTATGCAACCAGGGGACTACCTTATAGTCGTTACACTGATTGTACACACCATTCGAAAACGTGTTTTAGAGAACCATATAATTCGGGATCCTACTTGTAGCAACTCGGTAATCGTTATTTTTTTGCAAGTTCCTAACATACTGACTTTTCCATGCTTGACCCAATGACTTATAACTCAACTTTTAGATTTTCGGGGTGTACATAAGCCCCCCGATCACGAAGCCCAACGTGATGAAGTGTTTGGACAGAGAACCCCATAATTCTTTCTTCTTGAATGGGTCACACTTCCATCCGATTTGGTTTAATCCAACAATTACTTTGTGATCTACCAACGTGTGATAGTTAGTTTTAAAGAGTAATAATGATGATTTTCTTGTCATATCTCATCTCTTTCCTTGTCATGATGACTTTTATGGGAAAGCCAATCGTCATTATGACTCTAGTTCAATAGGGTTTCCAAACCGTTTTTAATTTTCTTTCCATAAAACCCCAAATTTCTTTGTTTCTTTGCTCATCATTCTCGACCCTTATTCTCATTTCTTCAATATTGTTGTCTAAGTTTTTGCGTTTTCTGCTAGTTGCTTACAAGCACGAATCTCAGGCATTACTTATTTGCCTTACTTATTCTGACTTAATTCTTTTATCATGGTTATTGTTATACCCCAAATTTTACCCTCATATTTTTTTATCGTTTGCACATCATTTTAGGTCAATCGTGCTTGCATAACTAACCAGTTACCAGGCTTTTGTTTGTTTTGTTTTCATTTGTGAATTAGGTTTGGTTTTATGAGGGGCTCAATAGGTTGGTCAATCAAGATTTTGGATAGGTCCTCAACTAATCAAATTCATGCGCTCAAGAGACCCATATCCAGTAGGGCCTGAGGAATGGAGGTGTGAGTTGCTGCAAGATTTGAGAATCAGGAAATCTAATGCATTGGAGGGAGGCATGAACTTCAAGGAATTTTCACTCATGCCTAAGTCAAAGTCTTACTTGATCAGGATGGAGTTTTTCTATTAGTTAGAATATTGCTTTTGCTCTGTGCATTTGATAGGGGCTCAAAGGTTACGAGTTCATGGATCTTAAGTCAAAAGTAGAACTCCTATTTGAAAATTCATGGGGATTCAAAGTTAAATCTAAGGTCAAGAATGTTGTGTTTTAAAGTCCCAAGGTTTAAAATTCAAGAGTGGGTCCAAGTCCAAGTTTATTCATTTTTAATTCAAATTTCTCTTCAATGCCAAGTTTCAAATAATGATGTCCATCCAAGTATTTCCTAAGAGTCCTTCAAATTTTGAGTTGTGTGTCTATTTCTGTTTCAAGCTCCATTTCAGGCTATTGATCTTAAAGTTCAATATAGATTCTTAATTTTGAACTTATATCATATCAAGTCCAAATGTTGATGTGCAAATTCAAGCGCTTAATTGGTCAAAGTTACAAGTAGCGGTTTGTATTGATTCAAATGCTTAGTTACAAGCCCTTTCTAACAAAAAGGATTTCATAAATGTCATTTGTTTCATTTACATTTTTTGGTTTATTCAAATACTAAGATTACAATGTTTAATACAAGTTGAAATTGTTACAACATGTACATCATGCCCACACACCACTTCTAATCATGAAATCATTTTCAAGCTTTCATTACCACACCTAACGTATTCTCCATCATACCCCAGGCCCTATCCACCTCCACGCTTCAACGACCGTAACCGTCTTGCTATATTTTCACCACCATCTCTATGTCTTTACTATTTCTCAAACCTACACCAGACAAATTCAATTCATCAAGTTCAATCATACAAATCACAAACTATAACCAAATCATCCACAATTCAAACATCAAACCAAAGTTAATTCTTTCCATAAAACTTAAACCAATTTCATCCATGACATTCATAAATCAAATTTCAATCATCACAAAACCATGTCAAATGTAAACCATTTAAAACCAATTTCCAATTTCAACCAAAATTGAGGCACCAGTATCAAAAGCAAACCAAAGTCTAGAACTAATGTGTAACCATATTCCAATTGGATCAATCCAAACACAAACAGAATTTCAAGTTGTCATGGATTACAAATTCAACATAGTTCAGTTCAAGACAAGTAATCACATTTCATGCCACAATTCAAAGTGTCACGCCACATACATTCAAACCCAAAACACAAATTCAATTAGACAAACTCAGAAGGAGACAAGGATATCACAATAGTAGAGAACAAGACAAGGATTTCAAATTGTGCAGAGAAATTAAGAACAAATAGATAATACACTATAGGGATTAATTGGCAGTATTCATAGAGAAGGAAGTTTCAGAATAACATGAAAGTGGCAGAATAAAGAGAACCACAAAAGGGGTATACCAGCTCATAGAGTTCACAAAAATGGCAAGTTCAGGATGGCAAATTTAAATATCAAAACTTCAACATTAATTTGGAGAAAGAGACAAATACCTTGCAACAAACATCATAGCAGAGATTTCATAGAGTACAAGGAGAGGGGTTTGAATATCAG